CTCAACTGCCCCCCTCAACTGCCCCCCTCAACTGCCCCCCTCAACTGCCCCCCTCCTGGTTCAATGGATTCTCCATGATTTTCCTCCCGCGACTCGGAAGATTGACGGTGATCTGAAGCCCCCCAGGCTGTCGCGCTTCGGTCGTTGATGCCACGAGCAGCTGCCCACGCCTGAATACGGGATCATGATGGATCATGATGGATTTGGTGTAGTGTTGGTGCTTGGCAACAAGTGCTGTCTTCAACTGTGCTTGAAACACTTGTGACAAGTCCTCGAGAAAGCTCTCGAGCCCCGAGAAAGCTCCCGAGAGCCCCAAAGAAGAATGCTGGCCTTGACGCAAAGGCCAAGGGTTCGAAGCCGGTCGTCCAAACGCACGTAACGGCCCACAAGCCTGGCATGAACGAGTGTCTCGCCCCAGCGTGGCCGACCGTCTGGTTCCAGGTGATTGTTTGGTTCGACTCTTTCGCCCGGCGTTTCGCTCGAACGACCTCCCGCCATTGGCAGCCTTCTCTCGGCTTCTCTCCGTCCGGCACGCCCGAAACGACCGTGACCGGGCCCGGCCAGAGATCCGATGTCCAACGACGACGAGCCGGTCAGTCACGGCTCACCTGCCTTGAGTTCACCACCGCAAGGACATTGTTGACGCTAATGTCGCAAGACACCATCCCTGGCCTATGAGAGACATCGCAGGTCTGGGAAGGAAAGCCCGGCAGTTCTGAGGAGGCGGCCGAAGCGGAGCCCAGTGTAAGATGGGCACCTAGTCATTTGGACCATCTGAAATCCAATAGAAACTGATAGAAACTGTCTTTGTCCAAAAGAAAGTGTCTCTCGGAGACCTCCACCTATCCAAAGACAATTATACGTAGGTAGATAGATAGCTAAATAGATAGATAGATAGATAGATAGATAGATAGATAGCTCACTTGAAATCAGTCTCTGAAAGACTTCGAACTCCGGCCTGTGCGCCAAAGCGAGCCTCCACGTGGTGACTTTCCACCTGAAAGCTCATTTCTGGCACGCAGCTCGTTGGAGCGTACGGTTCGACTTCTGAGACTTCGTCACGAATTCATCGATGAAAGCACACCACTGCACGGTGTTCCGTGCCTTTGTCAACTCTGCAGAGATCTGCCGCAGAACCTGCGAAGCAAATTTGCGAAGGAGGAAAATGCAGGTGGACGAAACAGGCATCCAATGAAAGGAGGCCTGAATTTGAGCATTTCTGGTAGTGGCTCCTGTCGGTTAACAACACCCAAATGCCTGGGAGTCTGCAAGCACATTTGCAGCCTATTTGTTCACAGGTAAGGAAGGAAACCATGGATCAACTTTACACATGAAACATCAAAGCATGTTGATAGCGACGTTCACAAACACTTTCTGCATAAACACATTCCGGTCCGGGCTTTATGCCCAAATGGTCTCCCCCAAGCCGCGGCCGTCCTGGCACCCGGACCTGAGACGGTGTGGGGCAAAAAGGTGCAGATTGTTATATAGCCACAAAAGGGGAGTGGCCCAAATGTTCGGATGTCGAAGACGAGCCCAAGGAGTTTCGCGGACATGCCAACGGTGCTTTTGGGAGGCCAAACCGCCAAACCAGGTTTTATCGGAGATGTTTTCTGGGGTGTCTCCTGCAACAAAGACTTCGAGCCTTGCCCCTACCCCAAAGCGATGAGCCAAACGAGCAGCTGAACCACTTTCGGCACTCTTGCACACCCAAACTACTCATGAAATTCTGATGCATCTGAAGTACACAAACATCCACATCGCTGTTGGGTGTCCAAAAGCCTTAGACACAAACGGAAAAGGCTGGCAGCTTTTTGTGAGACAAAGGCAATCATCACTGGCTGACCAACCCAAAAAACCGCGCTCGCGCTTTGAGCTGAAAAACCATTGACCACAGAGCCAAATGGAGCAACTTCTGCACCATCCTCAGGTGGCGCTGAAATTTCGACTTGTTCTAATGCTCACATGCACCAAGGTTGGCGCAATGGTTTCAGCCAAGTGCTCACGAAGCCTGGCAGCGGCGCAGCGCAGCAGCGCAGCGGCGATTCGTGCAGCTTCTGTTTCTTCCCAGGTTTCGCTTCGTCACAACGACGTTTCGTTCGGGTCGCCTCTGCAAAAACTAATCCTAGAAGCGATGGCCTCCAACCTACTAGCGATGGCCTCCAACCTACTAGCGATGGTCTCCAACCTACTAGCGATGGTCTCCAACCTACTAGCGATGGCCTCCAACCTAGAAGCGATGGCCTCCAACCTAATAGCTTCATTGGTCGCCTCTGCAAAAACTCATCCTTCTGGACCACATGTGTGACGCTGGGCCGCTGTTCCGCCGCATACTGCGTGACCTCCTCGGCGATCAAGGCCACTTTCCGGGGGCGCAGGCGATGCGGCGTCTTGTCGGTGGAGGAAGACCAAAAAACGGAAGCGTGGAAGCGTGACGGTTCACGGCCGTGTCTTCGATGAAGTCTTGTTTCAGACTCTACCGTGCCAACAGTTCACATTGGATCGTCCATCTCTTGCGGGTCTTGGTGCGTTTTGTTTTTTGTTCTTTTTTCGTGAGTCCTGACTTAACTTCTGGGCTGCCTCATTGGACAAGCCCCCTGAGTCTTGTCTTCTCCTGTCAGACTGCTCCGAAGGCCAAATTAAATGATGGTCCTTTTCGCATCTGTCACAACCTAAAGATCTCTGCCCTCCCTGCAACCCCCCCTCAAACAACAATTTCGGTGACATGCTGTGGTTTCATGACGCACCAAAGTCTGTTGGATAAATCTCTCGCTGCCTCCACCAGGCGGACAGAGATGCAGAACTCTCGGTGCTCGTTCGAGTCGCCTACCAACGCAGCCGGATGCGTCCAAGAACACCCCCAAAGCCAACAAGTGGCCAGACTTCAAAGAGCCTGGCCTGTGCCAAACTGGCACCTTAGGTGTCAAGAAATGTGTTTGGGCATCGAGAGAACACTCGTTGATGGGGTGAAAGCTAAGCTGTCCAGCGAGTCTGGCTTGCGCCCGATGCAAAGAGGCGAATCTGACCCCTTGCAGAATGCAAGATCATATTAAGAACCTTTGTAATGACCATGTCAGCCGAACTTCATGCGTTTTCATGTCAGCCGCACCTGGAGAACTTCCACGCAGCTGGCACGGCACAGCGCTGGCATACTGCCATGGTTCCATAAAGCACATGTCTGGCACTTCAAGCTGTCCAAGTGCTGTTGAGTCAGGCTGAGCTCTGCAATGCAACTGTTCACATGTGTTGACTCTGGTGCTGTACATGCAGTCGAGGTTTGCATTAAAAGAATGTAAGGGCCTTGATGCCAATCAAAATGTTCATGGATAATGATAATGATGAATACTGCAGTGTTGGTCTGAATGCTACGCAATCGCATGCCAGCAAGAACATCTACAGAGCCATGGTGACCTACTAACTTTGCAGCAAATGGAATCAAACGCTCCAAAAATTGGGAGAGGCGGCGAAGCAAAAGTAACTCCAGACAAAACGACAACCAACTCACTTTGAATTGATGAGTGTCCACCCTGCTCCAGCCTCTCGCACAATTGAAAAGGAATTTACTCGTCCATCATGTCTGCTACTAGCCTTGTGGCCTGGCACAACTCAGGTCTGAAAGCTAGATAAAATATAGTGTGTATATATATATATATGGATGTATGGACATATATGTGTATATATGTAATATGTATATTATATATGTATACTGTCTATTTATGTAATTAATTATACAGTAGTCATGGTTCTTCTTGCGAACTTGAGACTCTTCTTCACTATTGATTCCAAGGACCCCAAAGAGTGTCGACCAATCAAACAAGTCGCCAGCAGCGCCGTGACCGGCAGCATGGCCATCCCCATGACCCGCGGCATGTCCGTCACCGTGACCACCATATCCACCATGGCTTTCGCCGCCATGGCCACTGTGACCGCCATGGCCATGGTCCTCTGTGCAGTCGGCGTCATGGCCCCCATGCCCACCGTGTTCGCCGTGTCCCTGCGAGGTCGGGTCGAAGAAGCATCGAACCAGCTCAGTCGAGCCTCCGTCGACGAGCACGTCACCAGCTCAGTCGACATCGACACGCAAACTCGACATCGACGCGGCAAGCCTCGTGCCCACCATGACCACCTCAGCATGGAAAAACTGAACGCTATCGCTTGATGTCGAACGGCAAAGGCCAGGACCATGCGAGAGCTCTGGCGCTTCCTTGCAAAGGCTCTGTTCGTTTTGGAAGTGGTCCGTTTTCCCGAATGGATGTGCCCAGTTTACCAAGTTATATGTCTTCAACATACTTTCCACAGTGAAGGCGCATGTGAAAAGCGCAGTGGATGTTCGCATTGGTAGCAGTTGAACAATCATTGGAAGGTCAAACAGTATTGTCTTGCGTGTGTGATTGTTGGTTCCGCCATAATTCTGGGAGACTTTCTCCAATGAGAAAAGGGGTTGCCCCCGGATGCATTCAGCAGAATATCTCCCAAGCTCTCTTCATATTTGGTCTCGAAATTTCATGTGAAACAAAGCCTGCAGGCCTTCAATGTACTTTAAGAAGGAACAATAAATGAAAACGATAGAGACTTAAAGGACATCTCCTCAAAAAAAAACGGGGGACCGTGTTTTCCCCGATCGAAGCACTTGCATGCACTGGGTCCAACCACTGGGTGAGCCAGCGGGGAAACTGACGGTCTGAAACGGTCTTCTTTGGCTGCTTTGACTTCTTGCTTCTTTGGTGGGGCATCATCAAATTGATAGTGAGGTAAGGACAGCCAGTCGACTGCATTCCAGACTCACAGGATCTATAGATTGTCTCGGCAGGTGGCAGTTTTCAATTCATTATCTACCACTGCCATGGAAAGCGTACATGGACAGTGATGGGAAGCTCTAAAGCCAATTTTGAAGCAGAATCTCTATGTTGTCGACCCTCTCTGTGCTCGTCTTGCCCCTTCCTGTCCACCTGGCTGTTTCATCCTGGCTTTTGTTGTGGTCTTAGTCTACCTGGTCTACCTTCAGTAGTTGCCTCCTCCGCGTCTGTAGTTGGACCCTCTGCATGTTTCTGTGTACCTGTCCGCCTGTCTCCCTACACACCTACCTGTCTCAGTGCTCTTGTAGTATATCTGTGGTTCCCCATGGATATGGAGGACGTAATGTGTGGCACACGTCTACATGTCCTCTACATCTTGTGCCATCACCAAAAATGCTAGTCATGTCATGCGGTGCCTCCGCATCTTTATCAATGTCCTCATTGACGAAGTTGCAAATGTCCTCAGCAAGCTGAATCTTGAACTACTGTGACCGCCTACATCTTGGTAAGAAATTGGAAAAGGATCCATCACGCACGAAGCTAACAACGAAGCTAAGCATCGTGGGCTCGAATGTTGCATAATTCGGACATCTGCCATGGCTCTCACTCTTTTGTCACTTGCGCGGTTCCACTCAGAAATCATCAAAAAACACTAGCTTTTTCTATGCAGTGCCTTCACCTTGCCCTTCACTGCAGGGATGATCTTCGCAAATGTGTTGATACTTCTGATTCGATCCTTGCCAAACGACAAGGTGTTCCGGCTTGGCACACCAGCTCTTGTTTCACACAGTGCGGCGCGGAAGCCGCCTTTATTGCAATGGCTTCTTCCGAGGAGACCAGGTCCAGCTTGTTCAGAATGATCTGTGCCGACGAATTGTTGTACGACTAAGACTAAGATGACAAATACCATCAAAAATATGTGACATCAAAAAGAGTTTATTTGACGTCAAACAGATGGTGTGTGACATCAAATACCATATGTCATATGTCCTTCCAGTGAATACCATCAAAAAAATGCCTTCGACTAGAACTTCTGCCGTGTCCTTGGACCGTCTCTCTCCCCTGACCGGCGTCCTTGTCGGCAAAGGCCACCTGCTGAAAGGCTTCGTTCACCTTGCCCTCTTCGACGGTGTCGTCCAGGCGTTTCGGCAGGTTCTTGGAGTCTGCGACGGTGACCACCTCATCCGCCGACGCGTCGGGGCCCGGTGGATCGGGGCCCGGTCGATCGATGTGGCCAGGAAAGATCCAAGATCGGCACCGCATCCAAGCGCAAGTCCTGCCTTGGACGAGTGCGTGATTTTCGTAACGACGAGTGCGAATACTTCCCTGATCTTCCCTGACTAGCACACGGCCTTTTGGCTGTGTCCCACTGAGGTGCTCACGTTACTTCTGGGCTGGACATAAAGGTTCGCACAATGGGGACTGGATCTGCCATCCCCTGGCCGTGACTGGCCATGGGCGCCCAGGTTATGAATTTATGATATGGAAAGCTGGTCAGAAACCTGTTCATAAGCCTTCAAACACAAACCTGGGATGTCACCGACTTAAATGTTGAAAAGTTACATTCCAAAGCTGACAGCGTCTATCAATTTAGATCCAAAGGTGAGGGCCGATGTTTCCCAAACAACCGTGACCTCTTTTACATAACCCTCTTTAAATGCTCGCGCTCGCTTCGCTTTCACGCATCGCCCAGGAAGGAACCCAGCTCTCTTCTAACGTTAGCAGTTAGCGAATCCAGCAAACCAAGCAAAGGCACCGTGGTTTCGATCATCACCTGGTCAATGCCGGAGCCGCCCTTGATGGCATCAATAATCTCTTGCAACCTGCGGGCGTTCGGCCAGAAAAAATAGACCTAAAAGGGGTCTTGCAAGGTGAAGATGGTTTTTATTTACGAAGCTCTTGGATCCTCTTCCACACAGCACATCCTTTTCCAGAGTCAGCCTGCAAAGCATCTTTGGCTCCACAGAACCGGGGTGAACCGTTGGTCACGTCTCTGAACTGGAACCCAGGCGACCCAGTCCGCGAACTCAGGACGCTCGGATCATGCGAATGCGCACCAAGTCCTTGGGCTCCGAGACGCTTCCGACGATCGGCGGCCGTGACGATGTTCCCAAAAAGGGCGGCCGTAACTCTGGGCCTCGTTACCCATCATCTGAAGCACCAACAAGCCCAACAGCCTAGCTAACATAAGCAAAGAACTCGTTCTTTTCGATCTTGTTCTCGCTGTGCCAGGCGTTCCTGGCGATCTGTGCTGCTTGATCTCACATTCCAGCCACAAAGCAATTCATGGTCGATGGTGCCTCCCGGCGCCTTTCCACTGCGGCCAAGTGCTCTTTTCTGCTGGCACCTCAGAAGCTGTGTAACACAAAGATGTGTTCCAAAAGCTCCTGGCTACAGCAACCCAGCTTTGCCTAAGCTCAGCACTTTCCCGCTGCTTGGCCACCAAAATATCCTTGCGCGCCTAGCTGGACACCACAACCAACACATGTCCAGCCTATCTGGCAGGTCTGGCACCTCGCGCGCTTGGGCGATGCGTTCTTCGCGCAGTTTGGCTGACACCTCCTGGCCAAAGCACGTGCAACACACAACCGGACGAGCACCGATGGGTGGTCATGGTCTGGCTCCTCGTCCAGCTTCATCTTGTGGAGATGGTCCATGAAGCGTTGCTTGAACTCGAAATGTTTCTAAAGAATGCCATGGATGAGTGAAACAAAAGTGCATCAGCAGGGCTGTAACACAGAAAGATCTGTAAGTCTTGGGCTGCATCTTCTTTGGCCTGCGCAACCAACTATTTGCATGTTGGATTACTGTTGGCCATAGACTGAGTCCAGCTCTTGTATTCGATGTTGTCGTTTTTCTTCGATTTGCGACCTCGGTCTGTGAAGCAAATGTTTCTCACAAATCAAAGACTTGCAACCTCCTGCAAAAGCTCCATAAAAGTGAATATCCAATCGTTCAACCCGTTGATTCCCGTTGATTGATCTACAGGGGCTCTTTATATAACTCATCTAGTGATTGACTCGTTCGTGACTGTTCTGATGTAGGCTCCCTGGCAGCTCTGCCTGTGACGGCAGCTTGGCTGGTGTTGAGTCATCATCCTTCCGAATCTGTAGGACCTTGCCCATCATGGCCACAAAAAAGAAAGCGATCGGAGGCGGGCCGGGGGGATTCCCATGCCCAACTCACCTCGAGATGATGCTAGATAAATACCAAAATACATAAGCAAAGCTCTAAGAAAACATATATCATATGTGTATATGTACATACCTCAGAATGGGGGGACGAAAGCCAGCAGCCGCCAGACGAGTGTTTCTTTTTCTGGCGTCGCGGCACACGACACATGGTCGGCAGCTTGCGAGTCAGTGGCGCCGCGGCTGCGGGAGGGCGTCTGTAATGGTGATGGAGGGAGCAGAGACGCAAGCCGGGCGGCTTTGGGATAAGTTTGGTATGAAAGAAGTATATAGTGAAAGAGAAGTGCGATACGTTATATGTTGGTGTAGGTCATCATCACAAGGCAATGGCATGCGTTTGTCACACGCAGGAAGGTATGCATCTTATGGAAGTTGGAAGGCGACATCAGCGTTAGCGAAGGGGAAATACCGTCTGAGTTCGAGTGGTGGGATGCCACGTGCGCGCGCGCGACCTTCTCCATAGTAAGCGTCGCGGCGGGCGCGCGGCGCACGAGTACGGCATGCGTTTGAAAAGAAGCAATTCTGTGTTCGAAGTTTGCAACGCATACTGCGGCACGTCGAAAAGCGGCATTCGTTGATTTGGAAGAGTGAACGGGCACGTCTTAGCCGGGACACGGACGTTTGATCCCGCGGCACAGAAGGGGAGGTCCAGCGGGAGTAGCTTGGGCTAGCACAGGAGTGAGGATTTGTGCGCCTATCGATGCACATGCCTGGACTTGAGTGAGTCATGTTCTGGCTCGATCCAAAACACAATCTTTTTCCTTTAAAGGGGCCTTAATTAAACGATCCAAGCACCTTCTTTATTCTTCTCTTTCTTATCAACCTGCGTGTGTAGATCTTTGGGCCGTGGACCCAGGCTGACTGGATTCGGCCAGGGCTGCCAGCAAAAAGGCGACGTCATGAGTCAGTAGTATATAGAACTTATCTATCTATCTATCTATCTATCCATCTATCTATCTCTCTCTATCTCTCTATCTATCTCTCTCTATCTATCTATCTACCTATCTATCGATCTGTCTGTCTGTCTGTCTATCTATCTATCTATATATCTATCTATGTGTGCATGTATCAATCAATCAATCAATCAATCAATCAATCAATCTATCTATCTGCACCACCAAGCCGGAAAAACGCTCGGTGCGTGTGGACGCCGCGAGAAGCACCCACTCGACCGAGGACATGGTGCAAGTATACGTAGTTTTTGCTAGGGGGCAGGAACCCTATGCGGATATGTAGTCAACCTCGCAGGCATCCCCACCGAAACTCAATCAAACTCATGGACTTGAACTCATGTCACTTTCGGTTCTCTATGGATTTCGCGAGTTACGGGCTGTCCTGGGAACTCGTATCCTACATGCGGCTGCAGTCCGCTGTGTACGTGGGTCCCTGTCTCCACTCGATTGCTCAATGCCCATTGTCCAAATAGCCTCCAAAGCCCTTCATGATGCTAATGATGCACTACTCGGCGTCCATTGCATCACTCGCATCACCAGACCCCATTTTCATTGCTTTTCTGACCCTCGCTTTGGAGCGCTCTCCCCGTTCACCCTCTCAAAAGGTCCCCTCAACGACCACCCCCCCCACACCCCCTTCACTCACTTCGTTCGCTCTAAAAGCTCAAGCCTAGCCTATCGGCTGGCTTTCGTAATATATCCTATGTTTATATCGTCTGATGCGTTTGGAACAAACGTACTAAGACCAGACGCCAATGGCTTCCCACCGGTGAGTTCCAAGTGTGCTGTGATCCAGGCCTTAGAACCAGGTCACCGCCGCCACCGTCCGGTCACCAGGCGTTGGTGTGGTCTTCACAAATGCCACGTCTCTCAGATCAAAAAGGAAAACAACAACCCTCCATCTGCCATCTGCTACAAAAATAGAAAAACATCTTCTTTGAATCAAAACCTATGAAAAACACATATTAATTGTTTGTTCCAATGAGCAAAAGCTGAGACGACACAACAGGTCATAAGCGGATGTTTGGTGGCTCGTCTCAGCTTCTCACTCTGTCCTATGCTAATTTGCTTGCACAAATTCGAAACTGACCACGAATCGAACACCCTCCTCACTAGTGGCATTCGCGTGTAACTACACATCCCAGACTGAGCATCAGACACATCGTGAGCCAGAGGAGCCAGCCATGCCCACTTCCTTAAGAGTTCCCGAACTCATGTACGTAGGTCTAAAAGGAGCTACTTCTTCCGAAAAATAAAAAGGCAACCAGTCGTGCAGTGAAGATGACCGTCCCCAAACCGCTGAGACCTTCGACGGTGCAAAAACACATGATCCTCATGTTCTTTTTTGTCGCCAAACACACGGCATCTGCAGCATGTGCCGATCCCGGTAACGTTGGGTCTTGCAACCCTCGTTTTGGCCAAACAACAAACAACGCCTGCAGTGTCAACTGGATATCAGGTACTCTATTCCCACAATGTGAACAAAACAACAGACCAAGTCAACAAGTCCTGCTGCCTACTAAAGAAAGGATTTCTAGCACTATATACGTAAAGATTGTCTAATCTCCTTCGGTTAACTTGGATATGCGCGGATGTGTGTTGTTGTTTTACCTGCTGTCTGCAGATTTAATTTGAGTGGGCACACGCTTGAAGAAGATTGAAAAAAACTGTCACCATGATAACCAGGTTTGTGTTGAACGACCTTCGGGTTGAATGAAAACATGTATCTGCTGTTTCCTGCTGACAAATTGCAAAACGAGCAAATGCCCAGGCAGGTTTTCTCCGCTGTGCATACGAAACGTGTGTCTCGGCCCCCGGTGATGCTGGGGCAGGCCACGCGAAAACGCGAAAACCGCGAAAACGCGAAAACGGCGAAAACGGCGGAAACAAAGCGCTTGGATTTGACACAGCTCACGGTTTTCTAGAACACCGCATCGGCGCGAAAACGGCGAAAACGCGAAAACGGCGAAAACGCGAAAACGGCGAAAACGGCGAAAACGGGAAAACGGCGAGTAGTTGGGGAAGAGTGCCAAGTATTTGCAAAAGACCAGTTTCGGAAGAATGGAGAGTTGCAGAATAGGACTTTGTTCCTTTGATAATAAGCCTCAGTAGCACGCAAAAAGGAGAGTGTTGAAAACGTTAAACTGAGAACTAACTAGACGACGGTTGGCCCGAGAGCGAGACATGTAATTGTCCAGCACTGTCGAAAAGATGTATAGAAAGAGAGAAAGAGAGGGTGGATGTGAAGGAGTGATAGTGTGGATGCGCAGGTGCAATATAGATTCTGTAGATGTATGGAGGTGGAGGTAGATCTGTGGATGTGAGCGTGCAAAGATGTAAATGCACAGAGACGAGAGAAAAGATATGTAGAAAGAAAGACAGGACAGATGTGAAGGAGCGACAGTGTGGATGTACAGATGTGATATAGATGTGCAGGTGTGTGGGTGTGGTGCGGTGGAGAGGTAGATCTGCGGATGTGAGCGTGTGACGGTGTATATGTAGAGAGGTGAGGGGGTGTATGACGTAGATGCGTCGATGCAACGGCTGCGCAACGTCAACCTTAGCTGTGCAAGTACAATGCTGAAGAGGTTCAAATAGAACTGAAGAACGTACATTTCACACTGAAGTTTCCACGAGCAGGGCGACCTGAGAGTAAACGACGTGACGATCATGACAAGCGACTCGTGTATTCCAAGCGAACATCGTTTGTCATGAAGGTGTGAAGTACACACATACTAACGTCACGATGACTCTTTTGTGGCAGCCACTTATGAGTAAGCAAAGTAGCTTAAATTTGTCAACCTCTCAAGAGAGCCGGGTGGCGCCAGAGATGACTCAGCCGCGAGAGATGACTCATCCGCGTACTAAAGTTGTACTACAAAGTCGCCAGTTCTCAGCTTCCAGCTCCCCAGATACTCCGCGTACTAAAGTTGCACTACAAAGTCGCCAGTTCTCATTTTCCAGCTCCCCAGATACTCCGCGTACTAAAGTTGTACTACAATGTCGCCAGCTCTCAGCTTAAGACTCCACAGATTGCTCCGCGTACTAAAAAGTTGTACTACAAAGTCGCCAGTTCGCATCTTCCAGCTCTCAGCTTCCAGCTCCTGCGATACTCCGCGTACTGAAGTTCTACTCGAAAGTCGCCAGTTCTCAGCTCCACAGATTGCTCCGCGCACTGAAGTTGTACTACAAAGTCCACAGTCCTGCAGAGGGTTGCGCCGGACAAACACAAATCGCACTCTCACCTGCATTTCGCGCACTCGACACGCACGATCTCCGCAGAGGGTTGTCCCGGACTGGGACAAATCGCACTCTCGCCTGCATTTCGCGCATTCGACACGCACGATCTCCGCAGAGGGTTGTCCCGGACCAGGTCAAATCGCACTCGCGCCTGCATTTCGCGCACGAACTAACTTAGAGTCCATCGCAAGCCCTTGGTTTCCAATCTGTCCTTGCGTCGCAAGAGCTCGTCGATTCCGCGCAAGGAGAGCCATGAGGCATGCCACGGCTCTTCAGTTTGATGGAGAGGAATGGACGTCGTCTGATTCTTGTTTTTCTTTCATCCCTGGGTACCCTCTGGATAGACTTGGTCACGTTATCTGGTCGTTCATGCGTAGTGCCTGTGATGAGGTGATATTCCTTTTGGATTGGAGATTAAGATCATTCTGACCCACTGACCTATTTACTAAGATTCGTGAATTGAACTTAAACTTCAACCGTTGAGATTTAGTGCACAACTAAGGAGCATAATTGAAAACCCTCGAAAGTGGCAAAGACCAAGAAAACAACGACTGCGCGAAGCCGACACAAACGGCGAAAACTACGAAAATGGCGAAAACGACAAACATGCGCAAACGGGCGAAAACGGCGAAAGCGACGAAAGCGGCGAAAACGGCGAAAACGCGAAAACGGCGAAAACGCGAAAACGGCGAAAACGCGAAAACGGCGAAAACGGCTAAAACGGGAAAACGGCGAGAACGACGAAAACCGTTTTCTTGGTTTTCTCGTTTTGCCGGTTTTCTTGGTTGTGGTTTTCACGCTCAAAGGCAAGACAAGCAAGAAGACGTAAGCAAACTGGAAAAAGCTTCCACACGGGAAAACGCGAAAACGGTTTTCTCGGTTTTCTCGGTTTTCTGGTTTTCTCAGTTTTCTCGGTTTTCTCGGTTTTGTCGTCGCATCGCGCGGGCCACGACGCAGGTTTTGTGTTCTTAGTTTTCTCCGGAGGGGCAGTCCGGCAGTCCGATGTTCTTCTGCTGAATAGACGTGCTATTTGAAGACCTCCTACTTCTACATTGCTGCTTCTACATCTAGAACTTTTTTACATCTGCTTGGTATAAAATTGACATGAAGACCCACCAGTCCTTCATTGTTACTTCCACATCTGGTGTGAACTTGTGTGACATACTCGCATCCACACTTTTGCATATTTAGAAAGTACACATGCATGCTGCATAGCACACACGCATATTGTCACCGTGCTGCACTGGTTGTCTTCCATGTGTAGAAATGCCAACACCAAATTGATTTTGCTTCAAGTGTATAACTTGCTGATCGAGAAATCGATTTCGCGCGCAAAAGACTGGAGGCACGCCGCTAGTTTCTGCCGTCTCCCTTCGAGGAAACGGCGGGGCTGGACGGAAATCCTTGCGAAACGCGACCCTCCGCAGGAATCCTGCGTGTCAGATGCTCGAACGTGAGGGATTTTGATGGCAGCGCCCAGTCCGCCTTCAACGGCGGTCAACCCTTATCGCGCGCGCCAAATGCTCAAGGATTTATGGGTGTGCCCTCTCAGGGGAGCACGTCACACGCTCACACTGCCCGGGCATGAAGGTGCGTGTTGCTCAATGTGAAACTGTCGTCGCTAGCGAGGTCTTGTCAAATCTTGAATGGTAGTCGAAAATGAAGACGCACGCACATCAACAAAGTGCGGCTCTGTCATCGAAAGTCAGTACTGAGATTGCCAAAAACGTCATCGAAGTGTGAAACGGCCCTCGCAACTGAAAGTGTGGCAACTGAAACTGATACTGCACGCATGTGTATACCCACATAGATGCAGACGCTGCACACGCGCGCAGTTTCTACCCGGCCCACAGCGCGCACCCTGACGCGACAAGAAAGTTGCTGGCGCTTCGGATGCCTTGAAACAACCCCAAGGCAAGGAAAAGGCTTTTTGGGCAGCGCGCAATGAAATGTATGTTCTTGCGGCATTGATTCCCGCCCGGTGTTCTTATTGGGGACGCCCGCCTTGGCCAACAAAGCCCCGCCGCTGGCCACGTGGGACAGCTGCCGGGCTAAGTTGTGTTCGAGTTTCCCGTATCGAGTTTACACGAACTGTCGTTTCGTCTTCAGAGTTGACTCGTGACTATGCAAATTGGCCCTACCTCGGAGAATGTGTGCAACCATGCATGATTGTTACGCCTGTATCGAAAGAAACGCTAAGGCTCTCCCCAGTGGTCCTGAAGAAACCTCAAAACTACTGTATAGCACACGGACACGGAAACGATCAAATACGCACGAACCACCACGACCGTCCATGCACAAAGGTCCAACTACTTACACGTCAACACTACCACCGACCTGAGTATCTAGTGTCTATGTTTGTGTTTTTCTTCATGTTGTGCTATTATGCTTCTTTGGACATGTCAAACAACTAAATCCCCTTCCATCCACACAGTTGCTTGCCCGCCAGGTGCCGACTACATTGCTGCTGCTGCTGCTGCTGCTGCTGCCCTACGCACACATGCAGCTTACGCGATGTACATTTGCTTACATACACGCAGTTTCACCCCAATATGTACACGCACTTTCCCGCTGGCATGTCTACATGTCTGTAAACTGCTGCAAGCTTGCAATTTTCTTTGATACACCTTCTCTTTTGTGCTCCCGCGTCACCGGTCGTCTATACTTTGGTATAATTTTTGTTCAGCGATACTTGCCACTGTTGTTTGTTGTTACGCGCAAATGGTAGCCGTAGGCTGAAGTCGAGCGGCGGTTGAAGATTCTGCCTCAAGTGAATTGTTCTGCTTTCCACGAGGTGCCTCAACTCACCTCAATTCTCCTCCTGAGATTTCCAATGCGCCTTGACTTTGGCAACAGAAAACCTATGCCCTTTGTCAATCAGCTGGGCAAAGAATCGTATCAATGATTCATAAACATCAGAAGCAGTCCCTGTTCATATAACTTTTTTTGGTTTGCATGTTGGTCTAAGGTAATCGGTCTAACAGTCCGGTCAATGAGGCTGTCTGGAAACAAGAAACTCTGTCTGTCAGAAAAACTGTGGTTAAGCGGTTGTTTCGGTTCGTTGTCTTGTTTGCAGTCCTTTTTGCAAGGATTTCGTACAATTGCCGCACCATAGACTGTCGCACAGCAGGAAGTATCAGCCGCACCCGAGTCAAAAGGGTGTCACCAGTTGACACTCTTGGTATCATTGGCATGGTATCCAAAAATATCTTGAGTGTTCAGTACATCCTGAGAGCCTGGTATCCCTTCTCCAAGCCAAATCTATTCTCCCTTCATCTAAACTTTGAAAGACCGAACACCAGACTCCCAAGCGACCCAAGCGCTGCGACTGCCCTCAGGCTTGGACCAGTTCACGGTACGTCAGCTCCTGAGCCGAGCGACACGCGGCACGCACGGAGCTCGTACGTCCGGACGATCAGCACTGAGGGGCCAGCACATCGATACGTCTCGGCTTCAAGTGGGTCATAGGCCAGGCAGGTAAACTTACATGCTTCGGCATCATCGTGAATGGTGATCACCTTCAAGAGTTGTGAAGTTGAGCAAGAAACATCAGAAGTGATATGCTAGACAAGACCTGTCCGCTTCCATGTTAGATGTTCACAGTCTTATGAAAGCTCAGGAGCTTGCGCAGTATTTGTTTCCAACCTGCAAGCAGGTTTCGGTCAGCATGAATTTACTTTGGTGATCTTGAGTTTCACACAACCAGGAGCTCTTTGAGCTCTGCCAAGTGGCTCCAGAGACCACAAGACTCCTCCCTGGGAATCCCTGGAATAGAAGCTCAACATCGTCCTCACTTGGCCGAAGCGCCTTCGCACCCTCCGAAAAGACCACCAGACCAGAAGGTTTCTCCTGGTAGTGAATGCCACGGTTTCGCCGCTTGCCCAGACTTCCTCACTTCGCACACCCATTGGGCGTGAATCCCCCACGCCTTGTCCATGACACACCTGAGCTGCAACGAATCCAAAGAAAGGCACTGTATGTTTTTCTGACGGGTCAACGACGTGTTTTGTTCAAAGTACCAAATGACCAAACACCTAGGAACCTCGGGTTCTCAGGCATGCTGGTTGTGTCAACCAATGGAGAATTGGGAAGCAGATCAAACGATGGAACCTTGATCAACGCTCGCATTGAACGGACTTGGAAAACTGCCAGCTGTGTCCATCTGTGTCCATCTATTTTAACTACAGTACCCTGACATAGACAATACGCTCCAGGAAGCCAAAGAAGGCTATGCTTGCGAGTGAAAAATCTGCCGACGGATGCCAAGCCCGCCAAGCGCTTGAAGGGGCCCTGTCTACCGATGAAGGGGTCTAAATGTTCACCAAACGAGGCAAGAAGCACCCGGCCTGGTCCGTCTCTGTGGATCGCCCAGGCGCGTTGACGGGCGATCGGCGGGCGATCGGCGGTGGACCGAAAAGACTCAGATGGACGTCAAAAGGGTGAAGACGTGGACGTTCTTCGTGGTGTTGTTGTGGGCAAACGGTCCATCTTCGTTTAAACATAGAAGAGGATGGACAAAGGTAGACACTTGGCCAAAAAAATATGCACAAACCCAAGTCGCTCGCCTGGCTTGTCTCACGTGTTGGTTGAGAATCAGAGAAACTCAGAGAAACTAGGATGTCAGAGTCATGCAAACGCTTTGAGGGAACGCTTTTCCATAAATCGCAGCAGTCAAGAAGGTAAGGGATCCTTCAGGATTTCCTGACTCACCCACTTGAGATGCTACAGAGCTACAGGGCATGGCAGGGCCAGAATTCTCACCGTGACAAGCATCTGCCTCATGAACTACCCTGGATTGAATGTTGACAAAATGGATGTCAGAAACGCAAACCACAAAAATTGTGACTAAAAGAAAACAACGAATCACCGCCCTGTTCATGGAAGATTTGAAGAATATTAGCAGCAGGAAAACTCGACATGGCTTGGCCATGTCAGGTTCAAGAGCTCGGCAGGGACTCTTCTCTCGAACCTTTGAATCATTGTAACCAGAGCTGAATCATTTGCTTCGCCAGAAACAACAAAAGAGAAAAACCGGAAAAACTCAGTTTAAAGAGAGGATCCAAAGAGGGAGAAGAGCGTCTCGCCGGGAAAACCCGCCATGCTGCAGCCGTGCAGGTGCGGCTTCGCACAGGCCGAGCATTGGCGGCTTCGGCTATTCCAAGTCCGGTATGGCTCAAAGGTGAGGTGGTGTGTCAAACCGACAGATCTTCATGTCTATTCATACTTATTCATGTATGTGTATGTGTATGTATGAAAAAAGCGTATTCATCTTGGTTCATTCTGCCAGGCATGCAGTTGTTCTTTTTCATTGCTCTACTTATCATCTATAGAGAATCTTCCCTGAAGAGCTGGTCTCATTCTGGAGACCTTGAAAATTGGAGCTCCACCTGTTGAGCCACCCCCATAGTGCAATGTGTCACCTCAGCTGATTGGTCATCTGTTTGGTCACCTGTTTTGCAGACATGCCGAGGATGGCACCAATCGTAACAATCGCATCAGTTGGGGAACGGGACCTAAGCAAAAAACAAAATTCAAAGGTCTCACCTCCAGGCAATTTCCATGTATTCCAACATGCTTTTTCCCATCTTACTTGACAAGTAGGACTACACAAGACTGCTCTTTCAACTTTGAGATTTCAGCTGTAGTCTGGTCATTGTGTTGTGCTCGTTCATGATCGGAAAGATCTGAACGATTCACCTGCGATGTGAAGTCTGAGACAAAATGTGATGGGCTGTGCGTGTGTGCGATGATCACTGCAAAGATGTGTCAATTACTGAGGTCACGAATGTATAACAAACATGGAGAGAGGTCAATAATGGTTTGGCTATTTACCACAGTACCTCTTGTTTTTGGTGTGCAGATGCCTCGAAGCTTCTGATCACATCTTTCGCTGTCGCCTGCATTAAAAGTCACATACAGCACTTGCTCAGAAAGACCAGGTCCTTTGACATGTTGCTCCTTCGGGCAATCTTCTGCGGAAAATAGTTTGTGAACCCAAAGCAGGGACGCACATTTTGCTTGCGTTGCGCATGGTCGACTTCGCAAAATCATCACCTTGTAGGAAGGTCCAGTTTCCGCAGCTCTGATGTGTGTCCGCAGCTCTGATCCAGTGAGCCAAACTACCAAAAAGAGAGACAGATTTTTGGTCAAAAATTGAGGTCGAAACTCGCAGATCCGTCTTCATTCCTGCAGGAAACTCCGCAGCACGTCTCCGGTCCCAATCAAGGACTGAAGCAACCCTGAAGAAAAACGGTGCCTGCCTTCGTCGTGGTCTTCTTGGTACTGCTAGTCGTGGTGGTCTGGCATGGATTGGAGCAAAAACCAGCTTTGAAGCGGAAAACGGGAAAACGACTGAGCCAACTTCTAGCTCATGCCGTTGTCTAAGACAGTCCTGCTTCGTCGTGGTCTTCGGCTTCGTCGTTGTTTTCGCCTGAACCCGGAAGGTGGGACGACACAGCTGCCATGACTGTTTCCCACTGCTCTTTGGGGCCTTTGAAGTGGTTGACTTCGGCTTAGGCGTCGTTGTCTTCGACTGGGAGGCAAATGGGTTCTCAAGCAAAACTACGCTGAAAATTCGAATGAAAGACGCTTTGCACGAAAGTCGAAGACACAGATTGCCTGTGTAGTTGTGCGATTGCCAGCTCCTGAAGCCTGATCATTGCTGCATTCTTGCTCCTAGTAGTGATGCCCTTTGTTGCTAATTAATAGCTTCTTGCTACTAGTAGCAATGTCACAGGCTACTAGTAGCGTCCTTGCCCCTAGTAGTATCACAGTAAAACACACGGCCTCAGTTGTAGTCGCCGTGGTCTTATTGGACTCGATCTCTTTCGAAACGTTGGAGCTGTTCTTCCTGTGCGCAGCGGACAAGGCATCAACCTGAGCGGACAAGGCAAACAAGTGCCGGTATTAGCCAATGCCCCAAAAAAGCGGCATGTCAAACATGTTTGAAAGAAATCACAGTAGGATCAGGACTTTTGCAGCGGCAGCAGCCGCTTCTTCCGCCTCTTTGATGTCATTCACAGTACCGTTGGCAGCTTTGGCGGCCTTTCCTGCCGCCGAAGTGGCCGCCTTGATTTGTTGCGTGGCATTTTGCCCGGCTTCGCCCGAGGCGTTCTGGGCTGCCTTGCCGGCAAAAGCTGCAAGTTCATCAGCACCTGCACCAGCGGCTTTGGCGATGGCCTCTGCGGCTTTCGCGGCATTCTCCACCTGCTCGGGGATGTCCTCACCAAGCTCCTTGGCCACTGAGGCTGCTGCTCTACCAGCAGCTGCAGCTTGCTGGGCTAAGGAGCCACCATTGCTTTCGCGAATCTTCGCAGCAGCGACGGCAGAGGCCGAGATGTTGGCTTTGATCTCCTCCTCCCTGTCACCACCTGCTACTCGTATTGCCAGAGAGGCGGCTGCACCTGCTGCCCGCAGCTGCTCCTTCTCTGACATGCCAGCTACAACAGAGGCATTCAAGGCAGATAGACCAGCCATGAAGCCTTGATCTGCAATTGACGCTCCTGCCGCCCTGGCTGCAGCAGCAGCTGCTTTTCCAGCTGCTGCAGCTTGTTGCTGTGGGATTTGGCTCGCTTCTTTGGCCGCTGCAGCTGCTGCCCCTCCGGCACTTGCGGCTTGCTCAAAGACTGTGCCACCTGCCTCTCTTGCAGCAGTGGCAGCTGCTTCTGAAGCAGCTTCAATTTGTTCAGAGGGAGATTCTCCCGCTTCTTGTGACTCCTTAGCTGCAACTTCACCTGCATCCAGTCCTACTTCTTTGGGGTCTCCTCCATTTGACTTGGCCACCACAGCAGATGCATTGCCAGCTGCTTCAGCTTGTTTTTCTGCAGACATGCCCAGGCTTTTTGCTGCCTCCGCAGCAGCCTCACCTGCGAGTTCTACTTGTTTTTCAAGTCCTTCATTGTTGAGTTGGACTGCTGCTGAAGCCGCTGCTCCTGCCGCTGCCGCCTGAGCTGCAGGTGAAGCCCCTGCAGACTTGGCGGCTTTGGCTGCGGCTTGACCAGCAGCCATGGCCTGCTGCTCCACTGTTTGGCCATCCGCCAGAGCAACATTGGCAGTAGCAGCACCCGCAGCTTTGGCCTGCTCAGCGGCATTGCCTCCTCCAGCAGCAATGGCTTGAGCGGCAGCAGTTCCTGCCGCCTCAGCTTGTTCTATTGGAGTTTCCTGCCGCTCCTTTGATGCGTTGGCTGCCGCTGCTCCAGCCGCTGCTGCTTGATCTGTGAGGTCCTTGCCAGCCGCCTTGGCAAGAGCAGCCGCTTTCGTTCCAGCCTCTTCTGGTGAAGGACCTGTAGTGGTTGTTGTTGTCGATTCTTCTTCTGGAATGGTGGTACCCACTGCGGGCTTCTTGGTTGTGGACGGGCTTGCAGCAATGATTGCCGCAGCTTTAGCTGCAGCTTGTTTGTCAGTATTCAAGCCTGCAGCTATTGCAGCTTTCTCTGCGGCGGATCCTGCAGCAGACATTTGCGCCTGTGACTCCAAACCGGCAGCAAGGGCGGCTTTGAAAGCTGCCTTTCCAGCCAGTGCTGCCTGCTCCTCACCGGCAGCTCCTGCTGCTTTGGCTGCATTGGCAGCTGCTTTGCCAGCAGCAGCAGCTTGTTGTTCAGGAATTTGGCTGGCTTCTTTTGCTGCCGCTGCTGCAGCTTGCCCTGCGCTAGCAGCCTGCTCAAGTATTGTTCCTCCTGCGGTTTTAGCAGCATCTGCTGCGGCCTCTCCTGCAACTTTGATTTGCTCTTCTGCACTTGCGCCTTTTGCCTGTGCTGCCTTTGCCGCAACTTCTCCTGCATCAAGGCCAACATCCACCGGGGTTGCACCATCCGCCTTGCCAGCCATGGCCGTTGCTTCCCCAGCAGCTTTGCTTTGATCCTCGTCAGAAAGGCCAGCCAACTTCGCTGCATCTGCAGCGGCTTCCCCAGCTAATTCCCCCACTTTCTCTCCGCTTTGGCCATTGCTCCTGGCAACAGCTGCAGCTGCTGCACCTGCTGCTGCTGCTTGCTTGAGTGCAGAGGCCCCACTTGCTTTTGCTGCTTCTGCTGCAGCCTGGCCAGCAGCTGCTGCTTGCTGCTCTACAGTCTGTCCGTCCTCACTGGCAACCCGTGCAGTGGCCAGCCCTGCTGCTTCTGCCTGTTCCGACGCAGAAGCTCCTCCAGCTGCAGCTGCAGCAGCTGCTGCTTTGCCAGCAATACCAGCTATGTCTGTGGGAGCAAGTTCTTGCCGTTTTGCAGCCTCCGCCGCAGCTTTTCCTGCTGCAGCTGCTTGCTCCTCAGTTGTCTTGCCAAGTGTTCTGGCAACATCCCCAGCTTGTTTGCCAACATCAAGAGGGTCTGCTGGTGCTTCAGTGCTGGAAGGTGGTCCAGTAGTTGCTGGGTTGAGGGTCGTGAAAGGTGGAGGCATGTTTGTTGTAGTGGGGCTTGCAGCAGCTACTGCCGCAGCTTTGGCTGCAGCTTGTTGTTGAGGAGTCAAGCCCGCAGCTATGGCAGCTTTTTCGGCGGCGGATCCTGCTGCCGAAATTTGTGACTCCAATTTAAGACCTGCAGCAATCGAGGCATTAAGGGCTGCACTTCCAGCCATTGTTGCCTGCTCCTCACCAGCAGCTCCTGCTGCTTTGGCTGCATCGGCAGCTGCTTTGCCAGCAGCAGCAGCTTGTTGTTCAGGAATTTGGCTGGCTTCTTTTGCTGCCGCTGCTGCAGCTTGCCCTGCGCTAGCAGCCTGCTCAAGTATTGTTCCTCCTGCGGTTTTAGCAGCATCTGCTGCGGCCTCTCCTGCAACTTTGATTTGCTCTTCTGCACTTGCGCCTTTTGCCTGTGCTGCCTTTGCCGCAACTTCTCCTGCATCAAGGCCAACATCCACCGGGGTTGCACCATCCGCCTTGCCAGCCATGGCTGTTGCTTTCCCGGCAGCTTCACTTTGTTGTTCCGCGGAGAGCCCAGCTAGTTTTGCAACTTCTGCAGCCGCTTGTCCAGCCAATTCCCCCACTTTCTCTCCACCTTCATTGTTGCTCCTTCCAACAAATGCGGCCTGAGTCGTGATGCCCAAGCGGCATATTTTGGCATGGTCCCATCTAACATATGCTACAGACTACAGACCGGACATGTTGACTTGACTCCCAAAACTCAACATGTTGACAAGCAAAGGTGGAGATTTTCCAACAATCACAGGGCACTCGTGCTCACTCTATATGCACTTCCACATTTGCTTTGGTGCCCTCAGAAAACAAGAAAGAGGTATGTGGAACTTACTCGAGCAATAGAGGATCCCAACCCGAACACACCTTTCTCACAAACTGCGGGCAAACAAAGAATGTTCAATTCCGCACAGCACTATCCACCAGAAATCTTGTTTGATCCTGTTGCTCTTCTGAACAAGCAGTTCCGTTGGCGATTCATTGGTGGAGCATTCGCAATCGGCATTCTGGGGAGTTAAGTGCTTGTGTGTTTGCTTTTCACACAGTTCTTTTGTGAAGCAGTTGATTCTGTCGCAAGATTGCTTCTTCAGCCTTTCCAACGCCGACAATATTGTATCTAGTCGCACTGGCTGTCTCTTGCAGCTTGCACAAGTGTCATGTTGGCTTATTCATATCTCGATGCTCACAAACTATGGAAAAAGGGAAAGAACAAAAAGACAGAGGGTTTCAAAGTGTTTTGCTATTTCTGGTGGCCAGAGTGAAGGGTCACTAAGCATTTTCTGCACAAACTCAGGCTGTGGCAGCTTCTCCCGCAGCTGCGGCTTGCTGAGCCACAGAGGCCCCAGCCCGTTTGGCTGCGTCTGCAGCAGCCTGGCCAGCCGCGCTTGCCTGCTGCTCCACACTTTGCCCTTCTTCACTGGCGACCACGGCGGTTGCAAGGCCAGCAGCAGCTGCTTGTTGCTTCATGTCACCACCAGCAGCAGCAACCGCTTCAGCTGCTGCTTTTCCAGCCACCTCCTGCTGTTCTAAAGGCGTGAACTGCTGTTCTTTGGCAAAAACCACCGCTGCCTTTGCAGCTTCCTGAGCTTGAGCTTCCTGCGATTTACCCAGTGCTTTGGCTTTCTGAGCAGCCTCTCTTCCCACCGATTCAGGGGTCCTCACTGTTGTAGTGGCAGTGGTGGCAGTGGTGGGAGGGATGCTTGTGGTCCGCATGGGTGTCGTTGTGGGCAAGGTGCTTGCCGCTGTTGTCACATGACTTCCGGTTGTGGTGTCTGTCACAAATGAGGTCCTCGAAGGAGGCTTGGTGGTGGACACTTCAACGGTGCTCGGATGTCTGGTCGATGACCTTCGAGTCGCGGATGTCGTCGGCGTCCTCGGTGACGTCGTTCTCGGGGTGGTTGAGGTCGGAGCCTCCGTGCTTGGGACCGTCTTGGGAAAGACGGTGCCCTCGGTGGCGGTGGTGGAGGTCTCTGCCCATCCATCGATTTTCCGGTCTTTGGGCAAACCATCCAGTTTCGGGTTGGTCACGGCATCCCCCATGGAAGTGCACATAAATGGACCCACCAGCACTCCACGGTCCCGCGGAGCTTCGAAGCCATCATGTTTCACCAAGGTCTGCCTCGGGTGTCAATTGGTGCAGCTGGAGTCGGCATGCACCACACTGGTGCGTTTGGAGCGGGGAGACCCCAAGGAGTAGATGACTTCGACTTCTTGGGTCGAACAAGGTCTACTTCCAGGAGTGCCGCTTCTAATGAAAATCACTTGGATTTTTTGTGGAGTCTTGAAGGCTACTCCAGACTCCAGAATGAGAAAGACATCACCGAAATCAATAGGCCACGCCAAAGAACCTTCCAATTTCTTTATTCAGCCAGAACACCAGTTTCCAGTCGCGGAGTGTCTCCCAGCAAACCTGAAGGACGCAGGATCGTTGTCCTCGGCACGGGGAACCACCCCAACTCGTTGCGTACTCGCAGAACCGACGGAAACCATCGATGTGGAGAGATCGATCGCCCTGTGACCCACCCGGGTTTTTGCAAACATAGGTTGTTAAGTTAATTAAGTTAAGTATTATTCGAGATCCCTTTTGCACCTCTGTTGCCTCCATGCAAGCCCAGTGGCTGGTGAATCTAAAGAGGTCACGAAGCCCATGCTGCCCACGACCACCTCAGAATTAGAATTCAGCGAATCAAGAAAGCCAAGAAAGCCCAAGAACCGTTGAACCGTGGATTCGTCCTGGGGTGACAGTCTGATTATTTCATCCATTCAAAAAGGACCAGTTCACAGACACAGTCCAATGCCACGTCCAAGGAGCGCCATACTGAACTCGTAGTTCAAGCCTTGCGAACGGGCACGTTCTACAGAGGGCTATGCCTCAAACCCAAATAATTAAAAACAGTAGCCTTGGCTTTGACATCACAAAAGCCTCCAACCTAATAGCGATGTCCCCCAACCTAATAGCAATGGCCTCCAACCTAATAGCGATGGCCTCCATCCGAGAAGACATGCAAATCTCACTCAGCTTTGGACGCATAGTTTGGGTGCAGCGTCAGCTTCGTCTTGGGATTCCCGTCCACCACCACACTAACATTCCAACTGGTGAGTTCATTATTTGTCTCATCTTTCGCCACAATGCTGAGGAGGTTTTGACTCTCACCTGAAGCACAGCATTGTAGAAGGAAGTTCTACTTCAGAACACATGCAGAAGTGAAGTCACTTATATAGATAGTACGTGGTCTTCTTTGAATCTGTCCACGTGATGCAAAGCAAAGCTACCTTTCTTTCAGCAGGACGCCGCCCAAACAACTAGAAACAAGGTGAAACAATCATCAAACGTGAGCAATGAACAAAGAGCTGCAAAAGCCTTAAAAGCACCGTAATGATAAATACCAACCCACCGACGTTCGCGAATTGGCCTGAGAAATCTATAGGTTGATGTCGCGGATCAAAGAAAGACAGCCTCAGCAATGACAGAAAGAAGCTCATCATCTGACATGCCGCTGGAACCAAAATTTAAAAATGATGAATCGAGTGTATTGGGGGGCTTTGGAAGATCAGCCTTCTTGCGATTCTCACACCTGTGGTGAATGCAAAACTTATCCCATACTTGCCTGCGCCGTGAAATCAAAAACTGCTGATTTGTACACCATGCGTTTGCCAAGGTCACGAAACACACACCCCAGCGCTGAAAACGTGTGTCCATTAGTGGCATTTAGTGACATAAGTGAAAATCAAAGAGGAATTGTTGCCATGACTCCCTCCAAGCGTGATTGATCTTGTCTGCACTTCCCAAACTGCGCGCACGGTTTCACCAATCAAAGTTCATGCTGTCCAACGATGAAGCAAACTGCAGCCAAGCAACTCCGAGATTTCTCCAGCATCACCCTTCGATCGTGTGGCTTGCAAGGAGAACCTGGAGGGAAGGTCAGTCAGGGCGCAGACGGCATTGATAGTCCGGGGCGCCTGTAGAATTGGAAGGTGGCATTGATAGCTCTGCCTTCACCTCAGGAAGAAGCAGTGACTGCCATTCAGTGTTCATGCATTCTTCCAGCTTGGATCAGTTTTGGGCTCTACAACGACCACAAGGAAATGTTCGTTTGTTGTTGAGCCGTGCGACCACCTCTAGAGTGGGCATCTGCGAGAGCCGAATCTTTCAGATGTTGATCTTCAAGCAGAACATCCCACGACCATCACGACCTGTACGGTTCGTGCTGCTTGTCCGTCTTCAGTCTTCAGTGAAAGACCGGTTGTGCTTTGGGGTTGACTTCTGAGAACCCGGGCGCTCTGCTATCATATCACTCGCATATGCCTTCCAAAGGGCAAGCTGCTGGAGTTCCGTGGAAACCACGGACGAGACGATGACGGAGCAATTTGGGGATCTACGAATTGCAGAGGTTGTGTATGAGTCAAACCCACAGGTCCAAGGTCTACTCATCCATAGACGGAGGGACCTTGGTTCTATAGGAGCTCAGAATTGAAGAATCTCACTCAGTGCTCAGTTGCCACTTCGAAGGATCTCACTGTGATCTTCTGCCCCCAGCCTCTCTGCGCATGACACGAGAAAGATCTCGAACGGTGCCACGAGCATCGATGCTTGTTTGAAGGGATGCCTCAGGTGCTGCTCATGGAGAAGATTAGAAGATTAGATATGCTGCATGCTGTTGTACGTCTTTCAATTGCCTTGACTTGATGTTCAACTGTTCCAGCAGCAAATGGAGATCCCATCTTCTTCAATCAGTGCCCACATCCCCCAGTCCACATCCCCGAGCTCCCCACTCCTGGAAGTGAGAGTTCAGAGCCCCAAAGGTCCCAAGGACTTGCGCGAAACTCAGGATCCTCAATAGGAACAGAGAACATCGGAGATCCGCATCCCACTGGACAGCCCCCCCTGCGATACCATCCCTCTCTCTCTCACAAGTTGATGATTGAGGCTTGAGGGAAAATCTACAGGAAACCGTGTTTTGGGGGGTGATAACCAGGGGGTTCCTGTTGATGTTCCTTTAAACCAACTGAAGAATTCCTTCGAACTCCGACATGTTGAGGACATTGAACTTGCAGGTGGAAGGAACTTGGGCCGCTGCTTCATGGACGTGTGAAATTCACGGACATTGACGTGCCACAAATAGCTGTGTAGCTGCCAACAGCTTGAGCTGGTTGGCTGCAAAAAATGCCGACTTGGTGCAAAAGTAATCACTGGGAAATTCCAAGCACTGGGCCAGTGTGCTACAATCTAGGTCGCCAGCTTTTCATTACCAAATTAAACAGAATATGGTTTAAGCGTTTAGCTTCAGCTTTTCATGCCTCATCCAGCTCACGCCGAACGAGGTCTTTGCCTTTCCTGAGACCTCGGAAGTTGACAGCCACGCAGTGGTTCCTGATTCAAAACATCTGCGGTTCCCTGCTCACAAAGCTGAATTTCCGTTGTGTGACTTCGCCTCAGAGATGCTGGGATTGATTGGCAAAGCGTTGAAAGGGAGGTGTTTGGATTGATTGGTCTTGATGAACCGAAACAGGTTTGGTTTCGGATTGTTTCCTTCCGACCTCGTTAGAGAGTCACCCTTCCTTTGTCATTGCTTTCCTGAGTTTTGAGCTGAGAAATGGCTTCAGCATCCACCTTTCGCCAAGCAAACGCACCAACGCACAAAACAAAACACAAAAAGCATGACATCAGTGAGATGTCCTGCTTAAGGCCGATTTATGCCACCTTGCAACCTCCGCATGTCCAATGCATCAACCAAAAGTTAAATCACCGGACCAGATGGTCTGGGCAGCAGTGGAGAAGTCCACGATGATGATGCGATCCATTCGCTCCGCGAAGACCTGGTGACCGTGTCGCTGAGTCGATCGACTTGACTCGAAGACGGCGGCTTCGTGGTGGAGAGACGAAGATCCGGTCCATCGATCGTCCATCGAATCACTCTCAGTGCGCGACGCAACCCATCGAATCGGCTAAGTCCTTGACCTGCACGAGGGATTTAGCCCAAAAAAAGAAGGGGGCGCGTGATGACGTGACGTGATGGGCCAACTCTGAAAAACCAAGATTTGTCAGCCTTTTTTCATCAATATGTGAAGTCAAAAAGGGTATACACAAAAAGCCAGGCGTTTTGCCATGCTAAGCCTCGTTCCTCCAACTGCGGGGCTGGGGATCAAAACCCAGACTCCTGCTAAACCCCCCGAACATGAACAGAGTCCTCTATGAGGGATGTCAACCTCCAATGGTTTGAGGGGCAAGGTTTTGAACTAAACCAGCCCAAGCTGCTGCAGTGTAGTCTGCGTTGAGGCGTGCTTGAAGCCCGTGCATGTCCACCTGGCGACGCGGCTTCACCATCGGCTGTCTGTGGCTTCAGGAAGGGCCGCTGTCCCCAAAATCTATGTCCTATGTACAAGTCACAGAGTAAAACAGGTGTCATCATCGACAAAACACAGAAAGGCCATGCATAGGCGCCAGGAGAAAAACACAAAATCACAAACCCGCATTGAATGTGACATCCTGCTGAGATTCTAAGAGCAGGGCAATGCACACGAGCCGACCATCTGTGGTTGACATCCTGTGCAAAAAAGTGGACACTGCAACATCATGGACGATGTGAGGTTTGTAGGCCAGAGCCCTCTCCTTCTTGCAGCCTCAAACGTAGCAAGGAACTGATCCTTGATACACCTCGACCATGCGGGAATACTGCTACAAATCCTCTGTCACCAACTCATCAGGCCAAGAATGAGGAGAGGGCGACAACCAATCTTTCTGGCTCAAAGCCTTTGCATGCCAAGTGCTTGACCGCCAAGGATGGTTTTGAGTTGAGTGAAGGTCGCAAGTTCTTTCATTCAACTGAAGTCCAAGAAAGAACACCAAAGAGTTTTAAGAAGTCGCAACTCGATGTCAAGAAAGCACCTTTTTCAAGCAGAGGCCCCGGCGCAGAAGTAAAGCACAGGGCGATTCTCTTTGTCATATCCAATAATGCGCATATCACATCGCTTCTGGCAGGTGGCGGAGAAATGTCCATACAAACCTCAAACATAGTAACAAGTGCCACGCTTCTAGTAACAAGTGCCACGCTAGTAGTAACAAGTGCCTTACTAGTAGTAACAAGAAGCTATTAGAAACAATAAGCTAATAGCTTCTTGTTACTAGAAGCGTGGCACTTGTTACTATCCCGATCTGGCAGATCGCCACCGTCGCCCCCCGTCTGTCCTTCTCTTCAGGTCCACGCCTCGAAGTGGAGCGAGTGGTACAGCGGACGGTCACGCAAGCGAATCTCCATGGCCTCGATGGCAAAGGCTCAGATTCATCAGACGCTCCATGAACCGGTCGAACCTGCAAAAAGGCTTTGTCAGCTCTGCGTTGATTGCCTTCACATGCAGTCCACATGCGCCTGAAGGAGAGCAGGCGTGTCTAGGGCCGACTTATGGCTAAAGGAGCTTGCAGATGGGTGGGGCTTGGCTATCCAACCCCGCAAAGTAACGCTTCTTGGCCAAAGCGTAAGAGCCCTTCAGAAGGGCCCAAAAGGCGAAGGTAGCGACGAACCAAAATCTGCAAACCATGAAAGCCCTCCGAAGCTGCAGCTGCAGACAAGAACCCTGAAGAGACAAGAGATGTAGTGCTAGTGCTGGCTTAAAGAGGAAGGACTTTGCCTGCATCATATTGTATGTGTCAGGATGACGAAAAAACAACAGTTCGTAAAAAGTCTGCTGCACCTGTATTCAGGTTGCTCAAATATCCGTCTGAAGGTGTCCGAGAGAAAGAACTAGTCAAAGAAAGAATTGTCCAACGCAATGAAGACTGCTGATTATATCATCAACCCCCCGTCTCCAGAATGGTTTTACGTCTCCATATGAATTGCTATGTCCAGATATATCGACATATGGGAGGCTGTATTCATCAGTCGGATGCCTTGCCGTGTCGTCGTTGGCCCAGTCCATTTCAGGACCATTGGCCGCTTGAGGATTTCGCTCGACAAAGCTCATCCTGGCAGAGGGCGATCTCCGATGAGAGTGTTTGATGTGATTGTGTGATTTGAAGCGGTCAACCCGCCAACCCATAGTTCTTGGTCTTTTCATGTCTAACTTTCTGTCCAGAGATCTTTCGGGATCTCCCTAGGCCCTATATATAGTCTAATACACACCCACTGGGAGATTTGAACCTGCCCCGTCAGCTTGGAGCTCACATCACCCGCTGTCTTTTAGGCCATTTCCAGCCACGAATCGGCCCCCCAGGTTGTTCCATTGATTCCTGCCTCGTGCGCTCCAGCAAGGCCATCGCTTTCACCTGCGAAACCACTCCATGCGAAGCGAACCGCCGAGTTTCGGAACGGCCGGGGCGCGCCCAACAAAGACCGCAAAATCGAATCGCGCAGATCGAAGCGGGTCGAGGTGAAACCTCCTCATCGAGGCTCGAGACACTGTAAGAACTCAAGGAAGTGCTCAAGCGTGTGAGGCTTCCATCCGACTCCTGCCGCGTGTGGGCATCTCGGCAGTGGGCTCGGGTGGTGACCGACGGATGCCGTGGTGGGATGCCGTTCTCGGCAGCCGGGGGCTCTACAGGTGTTCGGTCCGGTAGCCGAGTGGATGGAGCGGAACACAACGAAGCGTCCTCGGAAGCACCGTCAAGGAAACGTCGCTTCTCCGCGAGTCTTTTGTCACCCGTTTGTAGTATTATGCGTACCCCTGGCCAGTCTTCGCTCTTGGGCCCCCCAACACTGCGAAGGCGAAGGCGACAGAGGTCTTCGGTGGTCTCCGCACAGTCAAAGAACTGCTCGTCCTTTCTTCGTTTCGATCGTCGACGACACCACATGAGTTCGACCGGATTGGTCCAGCCTTGCTCCCTCCGAATTGCTGGAGATGAAGGGCGGAGAGGCGCTGGGGAGATTCAGACGTGCCTCTCGTCAGGTTGTTGTGCATAGTTCTTTTCTGGTGGCATCGTGTACGCTGACCAATGCTTTTGCTCTTTTGCTCTTTGCCACAGAAACTGCTTGGCCGAGATGCAGCAAACGAACCATGAGGATGGCCAAAGCCTCACAAGGCGTTCTGTTCGCGTCGTGACCCTAAACCACACAACCTCCCTGCTGCCAAGTCGCGCAAATAAGTCCATGTCAAAGAGAGAATTACAGCACGAATTAAACGATCGTTTCAATCAAAAGGCCTACTTCTCGTGTCTGAGTCTGGTCTAGCCTGCAGAGCAAAATAACACCCCTGCTGAACTCTGTCTTGTGTACTGCCTTGTCCCTGTTGATTCCATGAGCCAGCTAAAACGTGCAAGGACCATCGAGAAACCAAGCAAGCAAACACTTTGAACTACCAATCACAGCGAGTCATGTTGTGTCAGGAGCCCCTGCCAGCACGTGTATCAAAATATCGAAAAAGAACTTGTGCAAGGGTACGGGCGCACCCGCCAAGAAGGTCGCCACGGATAGTGCAACACATGCAGCCATTGTCCATGACGACAATCTGACAGTTTCTGCACTTTGCACGACAAATGCACCCTGAAGCACTCATACAGTAAATCCACCTTCTCTGCCAATGCAAGCTTTTCCTGCTTCAGCAGTGAATCATCGATTGAGACCTCCAAAGAAAAGCTATTCCAAATGATCAATTGATTGAACCCTCCACCTCTTGTGCATTCGTCCTGGGTCTGAGATCCTATGAGCCCTGGATGAACTTTAGAACAATTGTGAAGGTGATCGAAAGCAGGCCTCACCGAATTCGTTCTCAATAATTGCGATCTTTTTTTCTTTCTGCTCCTGATCGAAATTATATATATTGCGTCCAAATGTTTTTCGAAGAAGGAAGAGAGAAACTCACATCCTGGAGAATGTAATTCAAAAGCGTGGTCTTTCCAGCACCCAGAAAGCCTTGGCAGGGACAAAACCGGCTTCTCAAATCACCATCACAAATCTGACAGAAAAGCGATAAGAATACAGAATCCAATCACCTGTGAGTATTGTCACTGGAATCTTATCTTCCTCGGCTTTTTCGGGCCTGCCAAATTTTCTCTGAAACTCTGAAGAGACCGCACACCCCGACCCCGATTGTTGATCATGTTCATTGGAGAACAAGGGGCCCACCTTGCCGCCTGTGCTGTGATAATCTCACCATAGACTCCAAAAGTCTCGCCATCAGCAAAATGCTGGCTGACCTGCATGCAAGCTTTGTGCATTTCAGGATACAAATCCGCCCGCACCGAAGGTGCTGAGGCGTCTATAGCTTTAGCTAGGGGGGGGGGGGCCATTTTTGCTCTAGAATCCTGTGTTTTTTCACGTTTTTGGAACCGGCTTAAAGTGCTTTCGTGCTAATGTTGGGTATCTTGAAGGCTTTAGGGATGCAAGAAGTGCAAGTTTCTGCTTTGCATCATCTGCATCATCTGGACATTTGGCTGAACAGGTTCCCCTAACAGGGCTCAACATAGCTTCCATATTGCGTAACCACTATCTAACGGACGTGTCTGCGAGATAGGGACTTGAACGTCTGGGTACGTGGCTGGTCAGGAGCAGAGATAAGCAGATCAGGTCAGGAACGGTAACATTATCTCACGAGCATAGCTCCCATATGGCCGAACATAACCCCAGAAGTCACTATCTCAAGTATGCTTCCCCGAGATGGCCCAACGAAGGCTCAAAAGGGACTGGAATAGAGTGAAGATATT